GAATGCGATGTGAGCAGCAGTGATACACAACCGCCAGTCTTACAGCACTCACCCGATAACAGCCGACCGAAGGCCCATTCTTCGCCGCGCGTAGGATGGACGACAATCTCCCCTCCATTGATGAGTGGGATGAAAACGACATGTGGGAGACGTCAACCACTATTGAGGAATCCGAGTTCCTCCTCGGACGACCTGTACGGAAGGTGGCGGCGAACGAGAAGGGGAAGGGGACTTACCACCGCACAAGCTCTGGGAACACTCAGGGCTCTGTGACCATCGGGGCCCTGCCCGAGGGACACGACTTCAACGCGGCTGAGCGTGTCCGCGCCTGGAAAAGGGTTCAGCTTATGCTCAGTCGGCACCAGGGCAAGCAGACGCGGTCGACGCCTGTCCACCGTGGATTCTAAGGGGCAGCTGGTCCACTGGTGATGGTACGTCTTCTTACAATCCCTCTCTGCTTCCAGCGTATTAATGGTTCCGTCTGTGTATGCGCTTGTAGTCTGTCGCGGTAAAAACAATTCCAGAAGTCAGGGGGCTGCGGGCGAGGACGCATCGTGTAACGCAAGGCCTATCGGCGAAATGCACATGTTGGCAGGAAAGGAAGCGTCAGTACACTGTTCCATAGTTTCATGAAAATGTACTCCTAGAATATCTCACCGTGTATCTGCTTGATGTCAATGCTTGAGAATGTGAACTGTATGTCGGTCCCGGTCAACCCTACAATTAGGCGGTCAGCACCCATCGTCCTATCTACGCATGAGGTGCCTCAAGCGATCTGACATAAGGGTGGGCCAATTCGGTAGACGTGCTCGCCATTCGCGATCGTGTTAATATTGAGCATCCTATCGTTCCTTCATTGTCTATTTCTCAGTTCGATGCTTCCAAACGAGCGCGACCAGCCCACAGAACTATGGGCCAACGGTAGCGCGGGGCAGCTGATAGACCGACTTGTGTGATTATTAGATCGAGGCCAAACTCGTCGGCACCCACTTGGCAACGATATGAAGCCAAATCCATACCATTGAATATGCTATGCGCTCGACCAACTGCGCGACGCGTCATGGTCCCGTGACGCGGACAACGCAAAGTAAGCGCTCGTACCGCACCCAACATCTGTGGCTTGCAACGGTTTCCTCGTACTCTGCGCACGTCGTTGACATCCATCGCGTCCCAAAAAGTCAACAAGAACCAATCCGTCTGTCTGCCAACCAGACGATTGATACTCGCCAGCCTCTTGTCGCGCCTGACACGTCGCAAACGCACGGTATCGATGAACATGACCATGCCACGAAGGTAAGTGTCGATGTGACAGTCACTGGAGGAGTCGCCGCGCCTTCGTCGCTCATCACGTCACTGCAGCACGACTTTCAGCATGCCAACAGTGAAGGCATTGCGCCTCACACGCCCGAATGATAGCATCTGGAGACCGGGTATACCGAGCAGCTGGGAAATCACGCAGCTACCCGACTGCATACCGACACACAAAGGCAGATTCTCGACCAGAAAGGTTACACACCTGAGAGCGAACCATGTTACGGCAAATTCGCCGCGTCAGGTCAGTGACACGGACACAAAGCCATTACACGATTCGGTCTCACCTGTCTTCCTGATCCAGTCCACCTCGGAGGAGCAACTCAACGACATCCATGGTATTCTCCCATATCTATCATTGGAGGCCCGGACTCCTCAGCAGAGCAAAGCTGGAGGAGTATACAGCTACTCACAGGACCACCACGAGGTAAGTACAGCGTCGCAGCTTGCATATTAGATACTTACTGATGGTATGTTGATAGCAAGCGTCCAAGGGCAAATCCATCGCCGTAGTGCATGGAAGGGTAGACAACGCCGCGGTAGATCCTGAATGGAACGAGGACGATATCCTCGACACATCTACCACAGTCGACGAAGCGGAGTTCCGCGCTGGACGCCCTGTACGGAAGGTCGCCGGGAGCGAGTAGCAGGCGGCCCATAACCGCACGAACTCTGGTAGTACCCAGAGCTCTGCGACGATCGAGACCCTGCCGGACGGGTGCAAAGACCACGCGAACCTCCGCGCGAGGGCTTGGTCCAACGTCACGGCCACTCTTGGCCGATCTGCAAAGCCGACGCCCACCAGCCATGGGCTGTAGAGTGTATTTTGGGCGGTCACAATGTCGGAGGTGAGTCATCGTAGGCTCCTCTCCCATGGATGTGTATTCTGACGTATTATGTCTCTTGTGTCGGTGTGCAGCCCTGCTCGAGCCTAGATGAACGGTAGCCGGGGATGTCGCGGGCGGGTTAATGCGGCACAATGCAAGGCCTGTAAGGATATAATGACAAGGAGTCAAGATTCAGCGTGTCAGGAGATCATAGATTGCGCTGTAGTACTATGTAATTTCTCACCGTATTTCTTCTTGAGAGCAATTTCTGATGACGAGGGATATGAGATCGTACGCGTTCATACCCGGCTGGTCCGAGGTCGAGTACTAGGTGCTCAACACCGTCATCCCCTGCTCGCTGCGAGGGCTACATAAATGAATAGATTCGTTCAGCCTACGTGAACCACACAACTGCGACTGCCATTTGCACCCCCGACGGACGGAGTACTCCAGCAGGCCAACGCGACGCGTCCTGATCTCGTGACCAACACGTCGAGCTTCACCGGCGCGTAGACGCCCACCAGTACAAGAGCCTTACCACTTGCGATCATCCTTGCTGCCCATTCTCCACCATACAGGCCTCAAAAAAGCCACGAAACCACGAGAGCAGGTACAAGCCACCTGTAGAAGACCACGTCGTCATCAACAGACACCTTGGCATGTGTAGATATGGTCAACGAACTCACTGCTGTGGCGTAGGTGCGTCCTTGTTGGTCGCGTCGTCCTGGAATATCCGCTGAGACATCCGTGCCCACGCATACTAAGGCGAATTGGCAACTGTTTCCTGAAGGTGTTCACAACGATCCGGACGCGTGGCGGTGAGTGTTTAGACGTCAGCCTCGGTGACCATCATCTGGAGGGCCGTTGCAGAAGACAACATCAAATGGCGGATCAGTTGGTCACTCGGACTTGCCATGATCGTGAGTGCTTGTTGTCTTACCGTGGGCGCTGAACTTGACCCTCCAACGTGACGGATATGTCCAGATCTTACGCATGCAAGCGGCGGAAGACAGTGCCACTCGAGCGACGGCAGACGAATGACGCAGCCGTTCATCGGCATGCAAGTGGCTTGCTTCACAAGAGCAACATCGGTTGTGCACAGGTAAGTCTATGATACGCGATCCACCGGTGCGGTAAAGAGACTCACCGGAGATCTGTTGGTATCTTGTCGGCCCTAGGACGTCGTACACGCAATTCCAGGTGAGTATACGCTAAGAGGCATAAACCCGACCGCTACGGGGCAATTCAGTGTCATTCGCATCAGGAGGTCCTGGCACGATGTAAATCTGCGCGACCTGGAGGATGGTTACTCGGGTATCGATGTCCCGTCGACGTCGATGAGCAGGACTGTCCGCCCTGCGATTCAGGCCGCTCCGACGGCTCTTCCGCCTGAAGAAAGAGTGTGGGGTGCGTGTTCTGACGATGATATTCCCTTCCACATGGAGAGCCCTTTGATTGTGAACATCGTCAGACGATTGGAGCCATGGGGACCTAGGAACACACGTACGCCTAGCACCGTGATTTTTTTGTCCATTTTCATCTCCTAATATCCAAGTCCTATGCTGGAGTCCACAGCGGCCGACTTGCCATCCCGTAGACAGCCTATCAACCACGAAATGGCCGCAAGTGATCGACTGGCGATAGCTCCTTGGCACAGACGACGCCTCGTACGCAATTGGGTTTTCCTTGACTTCGTGACTATCTCTGAATACACAGTTGTGTGATCACAAGTCGCAGGTGGTGAAACTGCCCAAGGTCCTCTGGAAGGTGCGGCGTTACGACCGTTGTGTCACCAAGCGCCCGCGGTGCAAAACAGTGGAGGTCGAGGGTACAGATACAGAGCGGCGACGGTCGTTCCAGCGCGGTTCGTGAGGGAGACAAGTCGTACGAGAGGCCACAAAATATGCGCGGCATGCCATGGTCACCTTCAAGGAGGGACCACCCAGGAGGACGAAGGGCGAAGGGGGATTAGACGCCTGAAAAGGGGCGCGTGTCGCGTGATGCGAACGCGTCGACTCGGAGACGCGTCTCGGTAACTTACCAGCGGTTGACATCGAGCCTCAAACATCTTCAGCGCTAGACTTCGGCACCCGAAGTGTACTGTGGCACATACTCTCTTTTCATGCACTCAGGACAGATGTATTTCTTGAAGTTTATCAACGCGATTTGGAACTCAATTGGTCGAAAGGACCGCGCACGGGCGGCCTTTCAGCGTGGTGCGGCGAGGTTCTCTTGCATATTGACCAAAAGACTACATTCTATCGATGCACCCGGGCTGTGTACGAACAAGTCTATGGTACCCGTTCTATTCGAGGGCGCCAGCACAAGCGTGTCAGTCTAGACCGCAAACGCATCTCGCTTCTGCAGCGACAACCGTGGATCGTCGTCATCAATCTGGTCAAAGCTGCAGAATGCTGAGCTCCGTCACACAAGCAGAAGACACGCGGACACTTACTAGGGGAATACGGGCTGTAGCTTATCAGGATGCATCTCGGGGAAGTGCATGGTAATGGCGTCCATGAGGATCTCAAACACGACCTGCGAATACCCTGTCAACCCCACGGCTGTCGCGGCGACAGAGCGCGGCGCACCTTATATCCGTTCTGCGTGAGATGCAGACCATCCGACAAGTACTCCGCCAAACCCTCCTCCTTCCGATCTACCTTCTCCCAAACCGCCGTCCACACGTCCACGACATGCACACCCAGCTCGCCTGCAACGTCCCTCACCGCGTCCGCATACACCCTCGTCACGTCGAACTTGCGGTCGAGCACACGAGGAGGGTCCTTCGCCGCCTGCCGGCGCGCCCACATGCTCTCGCTCATGGGCGGCGGCGTGAGCAGGAGCACGCGCGTCTCGGGGGAGTAGCGCGGCGATTCTGGGGACGCAACGGTGCGCACGAGCGTGCGGAGGTTGGCGCGGTACTTGTCGAGCGGAACGTGCTGCCTGGTTGGGAGCTGCGCGGCGTCGTTCGCGCCGAGCCAGATGGTGAGAAGGCGCACTGCGGGGACGTGGGCGCGTTCCTCTTTCTTCGCGAAGCACTGGGACGCGGTGTCAGTGTACGCTATTGAAGAGCAGGAAGGAGCACGTACTTGTTCGAGTACGGGGATAATCCATTCCGTGTTGTACCCGGACATCCCGCGATTGACCACGTCCAGCTTCCGGTTGTACACGTCTGCAGTATATTGACAATGGTTAGAGCAGGCATAGAATTCCCAGTCGGACCGCTAACTTACACGCGAGCTGTTGCGCGAAGCCGTGCGGCTCCCATCCGCCCTGGGTGATCGAGTCGCCCAAGAGCATGATCACGTCCTGCACATTCGCAGCCATTACTGGGGTGCCACGCCCAATGGATGGAGGGCGATGATCGTGCGAGTCGAACCACTCGATGGTGGTGGTTCAGAGGCAAGGTTGTCGGACAAGTTCTGCCAGTGGTCGCTTGGACACGGGAAGACGTGTGACCGTCCATCTCAGCGAAGGCAGGTGTCTGTCCAAGCTCAGGTCATCTGTGCACGTCGCAGTAGAAACATAGCTATAGTACGGCCACGACTTCAGCTTCATGAGTACGCTCTTCGGCGCGCGTCCGAGAGTCCAAGTCGCTCCGAGTCGGTTCCGCTGCAACGGCCGATCGATCGGCGGCTGGCGGTTCCCGCGCCTTGTCCAGACCCGGAGGAGGTCTTGCGAGCCTCGTGGCTCTTGCACACCGTTTCCGAATGCGCTGTCGAGCAAAATCGTGCAAGAACATTTCCTCCAGCCAATGGGTCGCGGTTTTCGCCAACACAATTGCAGCGCACGTTTCTGCACCCTAGCCAGAACAAGCGCGGTATTCCTCCAGCCCCAGTAAGTACTCATGGAGGCTTCTCCTTACGTGTATACCAGCGGAACCCAACATGCGTGTTCTGTCACCATAAGGACCGTGCACACGGAGACGGGAATTGGGTGGTATATTGCAGGTATGTTGCTCGGCGTTTGTCTCGAGCCAATGCATTGTGAACGCCGCACGCGGCAGGCAAACCACCCTCGCGAGACGCGTCGCGGTCCAGACCGTGTCCTTTCAAGTCTACGCTGGTGCGTCATGTCAATCCCTGAAAGCTTATTTTCACCTAAACGGGCCCTATTAGTTTGCAGGTGCCTTCCCGAGGAACAGGGTGCGCTCTTGCTCTCCAGAGTTCCACCCGCCGACCTGGAAACTCTTCCGCTCAATACCCGCGCTGCGTCGTCTCACCGCGCGAAGACTACACAACGCCGTTCTAGGCGTGAATAATGAGGCCGTACACGGCGTTTAGGTGCCGCGTGCAAGCGATGCACCGCCAGCGAAGAGTGTCCTCGCCCGTTCCGGGAGGCGAGTCGCCTCCGAGCGGTGCGGGGAGCACGGTCAACTCGAAAGCCACACGCACGCGGGTCCTGTCGTCGTGCCTACCACCCCCGTTTTTGCGTTAGCCTATTGCTCATGATGGACACAGCCCAGGCGCACGTGTGCCGGCACAATGAAAGGCAACTACAGCTTGCATGCTATGGGCCTACAGGGTATAAAGGGAGGAGGTCATGCAGGATTTGCGTGTGGTCTCGCTGTCCTCGGCTGTCGTTACCTTTGCTCAATCTCTTGCACATCGTCTTGCGAGACTTGACCTTCCACTCCTTGTATCTGTGACTTTGACACGCTCGTTTCGTCATGTCGACTAAGATGTTCGCTGCTGTCGTCTCGGCCCTGTCTGCGCTCGCGCTCGTCGCCGCAGAGACCCACACGGTCAACTTCTACAACAAGTACGTCGTACCGTCACGTCCCCATTGTCCTGCTTCTGACTTTCTTTGTTCCGAACAGCTGTGGCTACGGGACGGTTAGTGCACGACGCCGTGCATCCAGCGCAGGTTGATTGACGCGACGCTCTTCCCAGCCTGTCCTGCGAAGCCAGAGCGGCGAAGTCCTCTCCCAAGGCGAGGACTACACAAGCGACGGCGCGCTCGACGGTGCCATCGCGTACGTCCCCCCTCCCAACTCTGCCAATCCCCTGACATCACTCATCCGACGCGCGCACAGCTACCTGCAGACCGGCGGCTGCGGCGGCAACGGCGAGGGCTGCACGCTCGTCGAGCTGACGCTCACGAACGGCTGGAGCAGCGCGGACATTTCGCTCATCTCTCCGTGCGTACCAGTCTGATCGAAGGCGCGCCATGCAGTTTAGCTGATATCGTGCTCGGGCTGTAGGCACGAGTTCTCCGTCACGAGCGGGTTCGGCTATTGGAACGGATGCGACAACACCGGCACCGATTGTGAGTGTCTTCTTCCTGTCGAGTGTTCGACAGCGGACTGATGGGTCCGGTGCGCGCGCATAGGCTCTTCCACGGACTGCGGTCAAGCGTTCCACAACTCGGACGACAACGTCGTCCAGGTTGGCTGCTCTGCTGACGACGTGAGCATCCTGCATCTTCCTTGTGTTGCGCCACATCGGCTGATGCGTCGGACTTCTAGGTCAACCTCGCTATCACTTTCTGCGACTGAGATGTTTAGGATCCAGGGCCTGCTGTGCGGGTGTCCCTCACTAGATGCGGAGAGGATAGAGAATATGTGATAGAAGGTGTATCCCTGATTGGATGTATAATTGCTGGTCGTATGTAGCGATGTAGAACACAATCATGTGTCATATTATATGGGGCAGCGATGTGATAGTCTGTTCCGTTATCCACGAGTGCAAAACCTCCAACTCAATTTTGGTGGATCCAGAGGCCTGTAACGATGGGTACCAGCGCCGAGCCCAAACAACGGGCGACCGAACGTAGCCGGGCCTTTCTTCTATGGAAGACCCGGAACAAAAAAAACAAGGTCATACACCTCCATGCAGCCACCGAGAATCGAACTCGGGGCGGGTCGACGTGGTGGTATAGTACCAGGACACGGCTCCATGGCAACGACCCAGGTTACCACTACCCCATGACTGCAGTTGTTTTGATGTGCAGTGGATTTGATCTGTTCGAGTGCGTAGGCAGCCGCACGCGGGTGGCTTTTCCGCGGCCGTGCTTGAACGGTTGTTTGCAGCGCGGTGGGGCAGACGCGTCCAACGCCACTCGACACCCAGTTGGCAGAGCCCAACAGAATGTAGCCCGCAACAAGTATGCCTGTCCTGAGTTCATGAGATGGGAGTATGTGCGACAGTACACTTCGGGTGCCGACGTCTAGCGATAAAGCTGTATGAGGCTGTATGTCGACCACTGGTAAGTTAAGCTACCGAGACGCGTCTCCGACTCGACGCGTTCGCATCACGCGACACGCGCCCCTTTTCAGGCGTCTAATCCCCCTTCGCCCTTTCGTCCTCCTGGGTGGTCGACCCTTGAAGCTTAAGCTTGAAGGTGACCCACGCGCATACTTTGTGGCTTCTTTCGCATGACTTGTCTCACTCACCGAACTGCGTTGGAAAGATCGTCCTTGCCCCGTATCCGGATCTTCGACCTTCATCGTATTTTGCACCGCAGGCGCTTGGTGACACAACGATCGTAACACCGCAGCTTCCAGGGGACCTTGGGCAGTTTCACCACCTGCAACTCGTGATCGCACAGCTGTGTATTCAGGGATAGTTATGCAGTCAAGGAAAACTTGCTTGCGTACGAGACATCGTCCGCGCCACGGAGCTGTCGCCCGTCGATCACTTGCGGCCATTGTGTGGTTGATAGGCTTTGTACCGGATGGCAAGTTGGCCGCTGTGGACTCCACCATACGACCCGGATGTTGGGAGACGAATATGGACGGAGAAAATCTGCGGTGCTAGGCGTACGTGTTCCTAGGTCCCCATCTCATTGCTCGGATTATCTGACGATGTTCAGAATCGAAGGGCTCTCGGCGTGGAAGGGATGACCCTCGCGAGAGCACGTACTCCACACTCTTTCTTCAGGTGGATGAACCATCAGAGAGACTTGGTTGGTTCATAAGTCGGGCAATCTTGCTCACCGACGTTGACCGGACGTCGACGTCGACATCAGCGTAACCATCCTCCAGGTCGTGCAGATCTACATCGCACCAGGACCTCCTCATGCGAATGACACCGAGCTGTTCCATAGCGGTCGGGTTTATGCCTCCGCTTATAATCACCTGGGATTAGATATACGACGTATCAAGGGCCGACACCGTACCAACAGGTGTTCCGGTAAGTCTCTTCACCGCACCGATGGATCGTCTATCATAGGCTCACCTGGGTACAACCAGTGCTGCTCTAGTGAAGCAAGCCACTTGCATGCCAACAAGCTGCTGCGTCATGGTTGCTCTGCCGTCGCTGGAGTGACGCTGTCTTCCGCCGCTTGCATGTGTCAGATCTGGACATATCTGTTACGTTGGAGGGTCAACTTCAGCGTACACGGTAAGAACAAACATTTACGATCATGGCAAGTCCAAGTGACCAACTGATTGGCAGTTTGATGTCGTCTTCTCCAGCGGCCCTCCCGATAATAGGCGTCGAAGCTAACGCCTAACTACCCACCGACATGCGTCCGGATCGTTGTAGACACCTTCAAGAAGCGATCGTCTACTCGTCTTCACATGCGTGGGTGCGGATGTCCCAGCGGATATCCCAGGACGACGCGACCAACAAGGGCGCACCTCCGCCACGGCAGCGAGTCCGTCGACCGTATGTACGCATGCTAAGGTGTCCGTTGATGACGACGTTGTCTTCTGCAGGTGGCCTGTACCTGATCTCGTGGGTTCGTGGCCTGTTCGAAGCCTTTACGATGGAGAATGAGCAGCAAGGGTGATCGCAAGTGGCAAGGCTCTCGTTCTGATGGGCGTCTATGCGCCGGTGAGTCTCGACGCGTCGGTCACGAGATCACGACGCGTCGCGCCTGCTTCCCCTAGGTAAAACCAATTTCGAAAAGACGGTGCCATTGATAGGCTTATTCACTCTTTGCGTAGGTTTGCTTACACACCATTGTGGTACGTCTCAAGAACAGTCGAAAATATCATGGGAAGCTCTCTAAGTACACCATTATACATTGCGCGAACGGCGCGGAACAATCCTCCCCTGTCGTCGGATCCCAATCGGGTCTGCTTTGTCCACCCTTTACCCCGCTGGCGACACAGGCTTCTGGTATTCTGCTCGCCGTCGGGTTTGTTCATAAATAATTGCGAGCCAACCTGAAGACGGATCCCTCAGTCCTGACAACACCGGAAAACGAATGGACCATGACGTACCAGATTGTAACTAGTGCGTTGGCCAGCTTGACGGCGACTTCCGTCGCACGGATGCCCGCTTCCTGTGTCTGCGGCGGCGGCTTCGACAGTGAACCGCTGCGACATCAGCTCTAGTCCTCGTTTGCAAGCCGACGTCTTCATCATCGCGTGTCGCGAGGCTCTCGAGGCTGGTGGAGCTCTGCGTGCTCCCAGAACTCGTCCGTTGATGGGTGGTCGGTCGCCCGTCCCCCACGGCCCTCCGGAGGGCTCGCCCAACCGTCCGCTCCGCTTCGTCGATGGTCGTGGATGTCTCCATGACCTCTTCGTCCTTCCATGTGACGTCGCCCAGGGTCCTTTGCAAGGAGCGTTGAGCCGTAGTCTCCGCCTCGTCGACTGTTGTGGAAGTTTCCACAATATCGTTGTCGCCCCATGCGCCGGTGTGCTGTGTGCCACCCGCTGGTGTCGACGGGATGACCGTTGGCGCTACGGCGGCTTCAAGCTCGATCGCCAGCTGTCAAAGGAATTGCCATCAGCAAGTGTTGTTGCTTCGACAAGGGCTTGCTAATACATGGCCTCGCCTCGAGTGCAGCTCGGACTTACCATGCAGGAGACCTTTACGTGATTATAGGCCCACTCCAGTGCTGTATTCTCGGAGACTTGGATCTCGAGTTTAGCCATCTCTGCCTTGACGCCTGCCAGGGACACTGGCTCGGATGACACAAGCATGAGGCTGTCTTCGATGGCCATGAGGCGGCCGTAGAAGATGTCTTCCAGGGTTGGCTAGTTGAGGTGAGGCCAAACCATATTACGGATCAATGTTTGTCACTAACCTGACGTGGCTTCGTCGCCGTATATTGGTTTGGTCTCAGGTACATGCCCTGGTTGGCGGAGTCTTGGTGCGTAGTCGCGCTGTGTGGTGCCCAATTGCTCGGTGTAGCGCGGCGCCAGATGTTCTCGTCTGGGCTGTGGGCGTACAGCCCATTCGCTGCTGGTACTCTGGAGCTCATACTACAACGCTGCATGGTCAGCTATGAAGCAACGACGCGAGACAGTTGAGGCTTACTCCGAGTAGGACACCAGTGGCGAGGTGATCTGAGTGGCAGTATGCGACGTAGAAGGGGCCGTGAAGCACCACTGGGGTATAGCACGCGCAGGACGGTACTTGCGTACTGATATGCGATGTGTGGGCTGGTGTCGATGGTGCGATGATGGACACAGAAGAACGCAAGATCGCAGCAAGGGACTCGCAGGTGAGCGATTTTGTGTGGGCGCTTTCATGTGTTGCATTGATCACGGGGTCTGGACGTGATTGGCTGGGACTGATCTCCCTTTGGTCTACAGGTCCATGTATACACATACATTCTTTGTGTCGCTATCCATTTTACTGGGATATAGGTGACTGACAAGGGGATAACATTAATCAGCTCATCACGGCATGAAATGCGCGAGCAAACGTCCAGTAGCGTGGCATACACAGCACTCAACGCGCCCGATTGTCTTTCTCAGGTTCCCTTTCCGTACAGCCCGTCTATTGCACAACATTCCAGCCCAGAAAATGCCGATTCACGCTCTCGGGAACATACGCAGGCAAGCCGGTCAAGACCATCACTTTGTGCTACGAGTGATGGTACGACTATGACCCTCAAATGTGCGTTGCGCGGGACTTTCTCGTGATCGATTAGCGGCGGGGCGCGTCGCGCCTGTGGCTGGACGGCAGCATCCCGGGCCGGGGATGTAGCCACAATCTGGTGAATCGTGCTCCTTTGCTGCCCCGCAATTCGAGACATTCTCATTGCCCTACCGTCCACACTTTTTGCATCACAGCGAGCAGATCAACCTTCGCGACTCCTGACACGCGCTGCGGCCAGACGGGCATTGTATTATCCCTCGGTTCGCCGCGACCAACACCCGACCAACGGCTCGTCCATCCCATTTCCCTGCGAAACGAGCTGCGCGACAATCAATCCCCCTCCTATTGTCGAAACCATGCCGCGTCAATCATCAGATTCTTTCCTCGCCTCCATGATCAACCGCCTGAAGTCGGCGCGCGCGGCCAAAAACGTCCTGCGGGATTCGCTGAATTCCGACCCCACATCGCCCGATGCTTCCGGCGTAGCCTTCCTTCTGCACACGAATTCTGCCCAGCAAGACGAATCCTCCGAGTGGCTTCTTGAAGACGAAGAGAAGGACGATCGCGGGCGCGTCAATTATATCCGCCCGCGCTGCGACTCCGGAGAGTCCATCGCTACGATCCGGGCAGACACTCTCACCGCTGGCAAGGAACACAAGTCGAGATCCACCAAACATCACACCGCTCCCGTTCCCGAGAAACGCAGGAGAACCTTGAAGAGGTGTCATGCCATGAGGGATCTACGGTTCGATGGGGACAATCGTGACGGCCACGACGATGGTCGTTGGGGAGAACTGGACGAGAATGACGAGTTTGACGGTAGCATCATGTTCCCCACCACTACAAGGGACGGCCTCTTCGCATGGATGGCTCCTGGTAGCGAAGTCGCTGGGTTGCCAACTAGGGCTCGAGACACGGGCTTTAGCGAAATAGTTGACCTTATTTCGGATGAAGACGAGGCCGCTAGATCCCTGAACTCGTTCGCCCGCTCGGCACTTGGGTGCTTGCAGCTCCACGAACGATTCGAGGTATCGATCAAGTTGGAGACCAAACATATCGTGATGTGGGATGTGGACATAAAGTACGTGGCGTAACGTGTACTCGCGTGCGTTTGCGCAAATACTGATCGTCCGCATTCATCGACAGCCACACGTACGCTTTGGAAGGGGTACTCTACGTCAAGGACGCGAAAGCTCAAACTGCCGACCTTCCTCTGTTGCCTGTCGAGTCCCTATCCATTGACTGGCACACCGTCGATTCCTGCCGACGCATCCCCAACATGACGGATGACGTTATATACGCGACGTCCTTCCTTGGGGGCCTGCTGGTGCGCCATGAAGTCATCCGACGCATGAACCCCGTGAATGGCATCTACACGGCCGTCTCGTGGGAGTGGATTCCGCCGGGTATCCCAGGCACTTGTGTCGGTGGCGGCTGGGCGTTGCGATTCTGGGTGCCGATCCCTATGTGGATCTTCAAGGGGCGAGACGTAGCGAGCTCACTTGTCAGTGCAAGCGTCGTCTTCCGCGATGGAGACAGTGATTACACATTCACGGCCGAGGCAGGCACTATGAATGTGACGATCGAGCATCTCATGCGCGGGCGCGATATGAAGGTTTCTGGGAGATCATGACACTCACGCGACGGCCGGAAGTCAAAGCAGTGTGGTCTTGGGTGTCGCGGTGTTGCCTTAGCATTCCATCATCTCTGTTGTCTTGTCCACTTTCTTCTAAAGGTATCCTTTGCATTGCTGTGTGTATCGCTCCATCATCGCTCTCATCTCGTATCTGCTCTATGTACTAAGTCTAATCAACACCCTTTCTGTTCAAATCTGTGGTCTGACCATATTCTCAGGAAGATTAGCAACCCTACCGTTCAACGTCGAACGCTTCGCCAATGCGTAACTTATCATATAGCAGCACAGACACTTAGGCAGTACTGACAGTTATCGCGACAGATCAGCGTCCAGTACACACAAGCTACTTCCGTCGCTTCTCCCACAAAGCCCACCTGGGTGCCTGAGTGATTAACCGGTCAAGCGTTTCGGGTGATCTGCAGAACTTCGATGTCAAAGATATCTTCCCAGCTCGCACCAGCGGCAACTTCACATGCTGGTACACGTTGTGGTGAGTCGATACGTGTCGATTGACAGTTATCTTTGTGCGAGCTGACTGAGTTCAATATGCTGGGGCATCACGTATCTCCCTTTGTACAGGACGTGGACTCGCTGCTTTCGAACCTAACTCACTACTGCACTGGTTCTCTGACACGCAGGAAAATACCGACGCGTTGACGAGACCGGCCCAGAAGATGCGAATTGCGAGCGAAGACGCGTGCTTAGTCAAGCCAATTCAGTTTCTCAAGGCCACGATTTTGCCTCGAGGATTAATGTAAACCTGGAAGCAGTGATTCGGAGGTGTCGTCTTCGTATAAGATGTGTGCACCGCCTCGTCTTCGAGGCCTCTCAACCGTTCCCCAGGACGAGCTCTAGTAAGTCGATACAAATTTTGTGCCCTTTTGTTAGTCAACAATAACAATTTGAAGACCTGCTCACTCGTAGGAACACACACATCATGTCAACCCCGATCCACAGTTCAGCGCCTACGCTCACTCCATCCTCGGGCCCCACTATCCCGGACTACGAGTCCGCAGCCTCAGGCAGAACCCCGGACGAGGATGACCTTGTCAAGATGGCGCCTTATCCCTTCGACAACGCGTTTTCAGACGCCGATGTCGTGTTGCGGGCCGTGGACGGTACGCGTTTCTACCTTCACAAGGCTGTCCTGCGCGTCGATGTTCTTCGCCGACATGTTCTCCTTACCGCAACCACCATCTCCGGGTTCAGAGACCGGCCCCGATGCTATACCGACCATCCCAGTCACGGAGGGCAGTGAACCTCTCGAGCGACTACTACGCATGTGCTACCCGGTCGACAGGCCTGAGGTGTCTGACTCTGTCCAGACTGTGGCCCCTATCCTCGGCGCAGCGCTGAAGTACCAGATGCCCGTGGTCACCAGATTGATGACCAAGTCGCTATCGTCCCATTGTAGCATGTCTCCACTCGCCGTATTCGCCGTTGCGTACCAGCTAGATCTGGAAGAGATTGGAGCCAAGGCAATCCACGAATTTACTCATTGGTACACATTGCCAGTGTGGGCCGATACAAATCTTCCAAACATCCCCACACCTGGCTTCAAGGCACACCTGTGCCGCGCTCATTCCCTCGATCATTATTCCTCCGACGTGGATGCTATCCCGGCCGCTGTCTATTACCGACTCCTTGATCATCATACTACTACAACATCGGAATCGTTACCATCAGGCGCGGAAGCTGTCGTCAAGCACATTTTTTCTCGCCCTCACCACCTCGAGATCCTCCAGGAAGCCGAGACGCCTATGGGGCGATTGGCCCATCCCTTCCACGATACTGCTCATGCGAATACCATCATTCGCTCATCCGACAACGCCGTTTTCCACGTGGATCGCTATCTGCTCAGCTTTGCGTCACCGGTCCTTGCCAAATTGTTTTCTGCACCCGCTACAACGGCAGCATCTGACTCAGAGAGCTTGCAAGTCAGTTCCGCCACTACGATGACACATCATTTCCCCGAGAACGGTCGGACGCTATCAACGCTGTTCCAGCTGTCCTACCCCATGCCTGACCCCGAGCCCATAGTAGTGTTGCCGCGGCTTCGGCGCTTAATCGACTTAAGTCGGCTCGAAATACGGCTTTTCCGCGATAGCTTTCGAGCTGCATATGTAACTCCTGGTCTGAACTATAAGCTCATCTCTGGCTGAGTTAACGTTTGACCGAGCTCAGCCCGTGGCTCAGAGCCGGCTCAAGATTCTTTTATAGCATTGAAATTGGCTAAGTAATACTTATTATTATCTATCGATCTCTATCAACGACTCGTTTACCGTAAGTCGCGCTACTCGCATCCGACTCAATGCTGTGATTTGGTGAGTTCGTGTACACCTGCCTCGGGATGGTATACGTCGAGGAGCCTGCCCACCGCTGCATGCTTCTCGCCGATGATACCCACACCGAACGTGCACATCATCGCGACAGCCATGTCAATGTAGGGCTGTGAGATGACCTGCCGCCCGTCAGCTCGAGTCTGCTCGACGGTGATCGGGTGATCGGTTCCTGCGCGTATGGTGCACACAGCAAGACGGTCGTCCCCTACTGCCGGTGTGCGGCCTTGCAGCTCGGAAGGCACGACCATTAGGTCGTCCTGCAGTGCAAACAGGTCGTCTTCCTGGCCAGCAACGTGTACGACGGACTCTACGTTCAGCATTACACTTGCTGGCGTGGGCGCGGACGCGGGCAACGTAGGTGTCGGAGTGGGTACATCCGTCAAGAATGTACCTGCACTCGTCGATGTTTGGTGCTGGTCGGTAGTCTGTACGTCGAACCTTGGGCTCGGCGTGCTGATTGTGCGATGGCTGGATGTAGAACGGTGGGGCACGTCGGGTGTGCAGCGCTGCGCATTCGTCGTGTCGCCATATGTAGCAGCCAGTATGACTCTCGAGTTCGTATTGGCTGGAGACGCTCGCAGCGAGCTTGATCCGTGCGCCCTTCAGTCCTGCACAGGCTACACCGGCATATTCATACATGATAAGTCTGTACTTACAGTCCACGGATGATACATGTATGGCTGTAGTAGAGGGGCCGCCTGTAGATGTATAATGCAATGTATGACGGGGCTCTGTGGATGTATGGTGTAATGTATCACATACCTCTGTGGATGTATGATGATACATCGCCAGCTGTAGTCGGTAATGTATTACGCACCGCGCACCGGCGTTCGCTCATACTTTAGAGACAGCGTCGGCCACCTTCCCTTTTAAGCACGTCAAGCACCATGACGCGCCGTTGCTGTCGAGCGCGCCCTCCAGTCCATTTCGAGCGTGTGCGCCCTTCTCATGCATAACAGACCACAAGCACCTTCCGTTTTGAGCGGATCGAGAACAACCGCGCACCTTTCCTTTTGAACGTGTCCTCCCGCTCAGAGTAGCCTCGGCCCTTTCGACTGAGGTAAGCTTGCTTATTAGCCACTGCCTTTGAATGCGTCAGACGCCGTCCTCGTATACACTACAGACATTGGGCCGCTTTCCCTTTCAAGTGTGTCCAGCTCGTAGCCTCTCGAATTTAGCGCATCTAATGGCGGGCTGTCTCACTACATTAGAGCGGTATTAATAGAATCTAGAGCCAGAGACGCGCCTTACTCGCACGTCGTGCAATAGACGCGCTGCTCTCTCATATAAGACAGCGCACACATGCCCTCCTTCCTTCCCCCCTTTCGAGCGCGCTGGACGCACCCTCATACATCACACACTCATTCCAAGCGCACTGGACGCTACTCTCTCATACATCACAGACTATACATCTTTGCCTTCACCCGCACTGGACACCTGCCTCTCATACATCACTCTCTCTCTGCGCCGTCTTCCCGCTCTGGACACCCACCTCATACATTACAGACCTCCGCGCCGTCTTCCTGTTCACCCGCTTTGGACACCCGTCTCTCATATATCACAGACTCCCGCCGTCTTCTCGATTGCCCACTCAGGCTCATGCATCGCAGGAGGCGGCTAAGTTCCTTGGCAAGTCCGCACTTCTCTCCTTCGTACGTCGCCTCGCCTTAGCTGTGCGTCGTATCCCACTGATTACTCTGGTTGTCCTCTGAGGCACGTTCAGCGCCGTGCCTCACGCGTTTGCGGGTCGCCAACGACCAGGTCCTCAATTGCCACGCAACTTCAAGCAGTTGAGCGCGCATCTATCTTGTTCGGCACCGTCGAGTGACAATGCACGAGGAGCGGATAGAAGTCTCCTTGCATATGGGTCAATATCGTACGTCGGACGATGAACGTGCATTTTATTATGGCCTGATGATTTCTCGACAAATAGGTGCACATCGTCCCACCGCGCCCGCGCACCTCCAAGTCCATCTACCTTCCTTCTTTCGACGTGATCAATCACCGCCGTCTCGCTTCATGACACCACCCTCGGCCTTCATCGAACCTATGCGGAAACAGCTGGTGCCTGGTACGGTTTAGAAGCACGGAGGAGGCTTGGGCTACCCGTGCGTGTCTCCATCATCGTTGTGTTGTTGTTAACTCACCTTCTTTTTGAACAAGTCTCGTTCTCGGCCTCACGACATTTCCACTGTACAAATCTGTCTTTACTCCACTTCACCCCCTTCCTCGGATATGTACGCATTGCTGCCGCTTTGCAACGACTCCAAGGTCGGCAAGGTCATGCCGTCGACTTGCGATGAGGTGACTGTCTACCCGCGATCTACTTTCAGTCCTTATACCAGTCCGGTCTACTGTACGTCCGAGTCGTCGTCTATGCCTTAGATAGTATTGTCGTATGTCTCATGTTGATCGCGTGTCTTTTGTTGTCTGTACAAGTCTCACGAATATGAGTTGCGTATTATCACATTGCCGGAGCGCGTACTTCGAGGGAATACAGGCATAAGATATAAGACTACAACTCTAAGCTACAACCCGTTTGTATGTACTGATCTACGTATTGCCAGGTCTTCTCGCAACGCTGTACTAAGGCGTGACGGATGTCAGCCTGGCGCCGAGCGTACGCAGCTCGGCCTTCAGCATGTTCTGTTGTATCTGCATAAGTGCTGGTCTCGTTGGTCCAGACGGTGTTCGAGTCATCCTCTGCATGCTGCAGCCACCACTTACCCTGCCACTTGAAAAAGGCTATAACACGTCGCATTTCCTCTTGAAGAAGATCGCATTCCTCGCTCCAGCGATGAGCGCGCGCCCGCGATTTGCACCATTCGATGCGCACAGCTAGACCGAATGTCTGAGTTGAACATTGAACACGAACACGAATCGATGAATCACTGACCTTCATAATCCTCCTCGTCATTGTCGTCGTCATTGTCATCACTGCTGGTGAACGCGGACGTCCGCCATATCCAGGACAGTGTCCTTCTTCCCTCTGACTGCCGTGCATCTTCGGGGTCCTTCATTCCTCGGACGTCGTTCTGTTCCAACGGTCGGAAGTACTTCTGCCAGCCGTGCTCGTCCGGTGGATCCATAGCGAGGAGGGCGCTATGAGCAACGCGATAGCGAGCTGCATCGGCCTGCACTCGGGCTTCAACAGTCTTGATGTAAGTCTGTGACCGTGTATTGTATCTCTGCCCACGAACGTCCCTGTCCTTCACCATGTAGAGATGGCTCCGGGCGCGGAGGTGTCGCCGTAATTGGTCCAGTGTATCATTGGCCTGTGCATGGCGGAGGCGTCGCTCAATTTCTTTCAGAGAAGGAGTGGGCGCGACAAGCGGATTTCCAACCAAGGCCGAAGGGAGATACAAGGGAGTGTTCTCTGGCTGAAGAGGTGCGTCCGAATCGTCTGCGGACCGCAGACGCAGCACTCCTGGCATATAGAGGTCTTGGTACCCTCGCCATGCATTTATTCGTAGCTTGAGGTTGCTACGCCTGCGGACAATCTCTGCGCGCTGCGTATCTGTGCCGTCTGTACCGATAGATGCTGCGTCTCTCTGCAATCGACGCCTGCGCACGAAGTGTCAGTAATAGTAAGGGTGTTAAAATCCGAGATCATGCTCACTGTAGCTCCTCGATCTCGAGGCCAGCAATGATCAGCATGCTCGGAGACACGTCGCCGTGCAGTAAGACGAGATCTCCGGACTCTATAGCAGCTGACTCCTCCTCGGCGAGAGAAAGGCGTACGGAAGCCAGCGAGATGGCTATGTCCAATATGAGTATGAGCAATGATCAGGGAACTAGAGGGACTTACCACGACGAGTGGCGACAAACGGATTGTAGTCGGCTCCGTCTTCCCAAGCTTCGACCTGCTGTGTCCACTCAGCGATGTGCGTGGGATTCGTGACATGCGTGAGGTCCTGGAACTCAGCAACTTGCTTGCTGCGCTCTTCGACTGCGGTCTTGACCCTGTCAAACAAAGTCTTCGCTACGGACACGTCAATAATTACTGCGGGAGGACAGATATCATGACTCACGGAGCTGGACAACCTTGCGCCAGTTATAGTCTCCGAAGGCGTCATCAAGGACGTCGCGACGGGAGCCCGGTCCCATCTCCTTTGTACTGCCAGAGAACCCGTTCACCGCGGCCCACCCACGCTCAACAGCCTCCCCGTCCGTGCGCCCCACATGTTTGATGAAGTGGAACGAGTACTTGGTATGGCAACTCTCCTGATGCGCTGGAAGGTGGAATTTGGGAATGAGAAACGTGATTGTTCGCCTGTCGACGTCCCAATCAAAGTCGTACTGCAGCATCCTTTGCCAGAGGTTGACGCTCCACTGACAGGCGATGTCATAGGAAACCACAACACGTGTCGTCGTATGCTGGCGCAGACTACTCGCAAACAGGTAGTCCATGTTGACGTACCTATATGTCATGTTCATTAGAATGTAATCACGCGCCACGACTTAATACATACCGCTCGCCCTTCTGGAGGTCGCCCACCGAGCATGGTCGCTTCATGTCGTGGCGTACACATTCTACAGTCCCAACTCCACTAGCCGCGGTGCCGTTACTTCCTCTCATATTTGCGAGCTTCACGGCGTCGTGGCTGTTGCACGTGCTCTTCTCGACCTTCTCGCCTTTGTCGTGCGTTTTCAGGTGAGCCTTGTACTCGGTTTCCTCGACGAAGTACGCATAGCCTCGGTTGAGACCAGGATCGACCGAGTCAGTTGATACGTCCTTGCGCTTCAGGCGGAAGTTCGCGTCCATACCGACGAACAGCCGGTACAGCCAGCTATGCAAGTTGTGAGATAAACGCACTCATAGATTGACGCACGTCGCACCTTTTCTCTGGCGGGGCATCTGCCCAATCGGAAGGCAGATTCTTGTCAGGGTGTGGACAAGCGGGGCAGAGAACTGCACAGGACCCAGGCTCTGTAGCCCGCACTCCACCCGGGTCGTGACCACGGCCAAACCGCTTCAGCATCTTCAGATGAAGCCACATGCGCGCCATACGCATGAAGCTATGGTATCGTCCCTTATGGAAAGGTAATTTAAGTTACATCGCCAACGCGCATCACGAACGACAGTGCGTACCTTCGGTTCCTCTGTCCCCGTGTTGTCTGTCCTTCTCGAAAGTGTATTGAAAAACTCGAAGCCCGATGCCTTCGTCTGATTGTGAAGGACGTGGTAGTACTCCATCAGGCGAAACGTCGCGGCCGTCTTGGGATCGATGCGTGTAGCCGGAAAGAGTCGCGAGCGCAGCAGTTGAGTATGTTTCGGCTCGGCAGTCTCGCAGCCGCAGTAATCAACAGCGACTTCGTGAATACCGGAAACATCCAGCACGACGAAATCGTCACCAAAGGCTCTCTGGGGATTGATGCATGCGTCGCCATATGCATGGCCCATCTGGATGCGTAGGCCTATCTTCTTGAGGGTCGTCTTGCAGAGTCGACCGTCTGTCCAGCTCTACACCTCGAGTTGATTAGTCCATCGCCCACACAACTTGAAGACGAAGCCGTACGTACCTTCAGGCGATGGAATGGATTGCGGCGATGTCGATTGAGAGTACATTCTCCACAGTAGAACCGTAGATCCCAGCAGTCGTCGCAACGATAAAGGGTTTCGCCAGCGTCCGAATCACAGCCCACACAAGTATTGTATGCGAAGTCACCACGTCCTTCGTGACGAATCAGCTCAGCGAGCCATTCGTCGATGGAATCTTTCGCCCATTCCCGTAGAGGATGGTCCTGTACTGACTCATTAGCCACGAATGTACGATCGAAATTACTACTCACGCTAGCGGTGCGTTTGCGATGCTTGGTGACCTCGAGATATTCACCAATATCTGTGAAGAATTCCTGTGGAAGCGTTTCAAATGCCTCGCCATCGCCAAGCTCTGGCTCCCAAGCAACGTAGGGTTCCGGTGGCTCGTTTATAGAGGCGTTCGTGTTGCCAATGCCCGCATAGATTGGAGGTTGTGCGCCGGGAGGGGGAGCATCTGCTGTAGTTATGCCAGATGTACGCGTCGACACCCCGGAAACCGTCGTTGCGAACGATGTATGTTGGTGGCGTGAAACAGCAGCCAGTGTGCGATCTTGATATCTGGCAGTCTCGTCGTCATCGTCGTCGTAGAACCGTACGTTGTCTCGTGCTCGGCGCCGCTTCTTTGCAATTCGAGACATGGGCGCACAAACGGGTGGAGGAGCCGTCAGAGAACATCTCAGGGCGGGCCGTAGTCACAAGTCACCCTGGAAAATGGGGGTGGAAAATGTTATTCAGCCCATCTCCGCCCCGACAAGGCGGGACTGTACACATGCCGGAGTATCGTCAGGAGAACACCGGCTCTTGATATGGCCGTATGCGTTATGCCGATGCCACGGACGTACTTCTCAATTGATGCATGACTGTCTTGTTAATCGCATCAGTCAGCAGGCAGCAATGTGACAAGAAGAAATAAAATTCTGACGTCTTCCCTTGCCACCAGATTCGGATGAAGCCTAGCCGACAGAGCAAGGATGTCAGTGGCTCTGCCTATGGTGGACAAATTGCGGCGCAGCTTCAATGCACTGTGAGGCAGAACTACATTCGGTTGCCTCTTCGGCCAGTGCCTGCTCTGTCAAACGGCCGATAAATTTGTCTCATCTCCGGCGAGCATCGCATCGAACGCGTGGCTGCTTCCATGCACTACTGAAAAAAGTAAGTCATACAACTTCGAGGTCGATGAGTTCATCATACTTACTGTGAGTCAGTGATGTTCGGATGGAAGCCAACGGCAACCAGTACACACATGCCTGGCCATTACAGAGGATTGAACATATTTGGGGCATTTGATTTGGAAGCTCCTCTTTTTCGCTCGTGCCCATCACCCGCCGGCGGACACTATTAGGGTACCGAACAGGGAGTACTCTAGGAATTGAACCAACAGTCTCTGCGCACTAAACATCGCCATCCCGAACACCCGCCGTGCCTACAAGTCGAACATGTGTACCACTGTAACGGTGCAGAGACGGGTCATAAGTCAACGACCTCTCAAACGTACCAGAAAGGTACTCACCGAGGCTGAGAGGTATAGAAGCGAAAGCAGTAGCGGCAGCAACACGGTGGTTGCTCGACTTCAAACCTGTACCCACGCGTCATTGACCTAGGGTGATTAAGTGTGAGTGTCGGGGCTGATTCAGTGTCGAGAGACTGGCACATACCTTGGCTAGAGTGACTGCAGAGACCCGTACTGAAGAGCGGGACGAGGTGGTGGTCGGTTTCTGAGGGCGGT